CGGCTCATATGTTGGTAGCGGAGTATTTTCTCCCCTGGGAGAAGGTGATAATGGCTATGCAACCATGCCATAGGGTGGGGGGAATCCCACACTGATCCAAACACAGAACATTTTGCATACAGTTCCAGATTCTTCGCCTGAAGCCTGTTCTTCCTGCCTGATCTTATTCCCACCCCTGGCTTCTTCCCAGTCTCTCTCCCAGGCCCATAACTCTCTGGCCCCTCAGACTCATGGATCAGTGATCTCCTGGACAGTTTCATCTGGTTGTCCCACCTCAAACTTGACAAGCCCCAAACTGAACTTATCTGGCCCCCAAACTTGTTCCTTCTCCAGGACTCCCCCTCTGGGTGGTTACTGACCTCGGTCTAGAGAACTTGATGTTGTCTTTGACCACTCCCTCTCCGGGAGATCAACACCAAATCCTTCCAGGTCTCCGGCCAAACTCCACAGCTGCAGTGTCTGTGTTGTTTGTCATGGGTCGTCATCACCGAGCAGATGCCTGGTGCGTATAGATGCTCAACAAATGCATACCTTGGGAGTGAATGAAGACATTTCACGGCCGGCCCCTCTGCTGCATCTCTGTGCCTTCCCTCAGGCCTCCCTTGGCTCCTCGCTGGAGTCCTCATCCTGGGTAGCTTCCACGGAGAAGCCTGAGGTGCCTTTCTAAGCCATGGGTTTCTGTCATCCCTGCTTTCCTCCCCTGCGTGGCTCCCTGTGATTTTTCAGGACAAAGGCCTTCCCCTAGAGTGGTCCTGGCTGACGGCTCCACCTTCATCTCTCAGCTCTCTCCAGCTCCCACTGACTCCAGCCCCAGAGCTCCAGAAAGCCTCATCTGGGCAAATGTTGCCACTCTTTCCCACACTCCACAGAGCTGGAAATGCCCAGCCCCTCTCTTTCATTTGCTAACTCACATTTGTCCTTCAAAAGTCACTCAGGTCTCATCATCTTTTAGGAAACATCTCAGGCCTCACAGTTCTTGGTTACCCATTTTAGTATCCCTTCACGTTGGTCCCAGAGCTCCCAGAGCATCCCCAAATCACGGTACTGATCTCACAAAGCTGTACTTGGGAAGTCACTGGTCTGTCTCCTACTTGAGGGCAGGGACCCTGCTTCATCTGTTCTGCCTAACAGAGCTCACAGTAGGTGCCCAGTAATTGTTGCCATATGAGTGAAAGATGGATGTATTAGTAAGTGGTCTACAGAGAGGAAAAAAACAAACAGCAGGTGTGTGTGTGTGTGTGTGTGCACGTGGGTACACACGTACAGAGAGAGAAGGGGCAGAGAGGTTTATTCTAGGTATCTCAGTCTTTTCTCTTAGGCCTACAACTGATTCGATGAAGCTCATCCACATTATGGAGAGTAATCTCTTTTATTTAAAACCCACTGGTTTAACTATTACTCACATTTATAAAATACTTTCACAACAACACCTAGACTGGCTTTTGAGAGCATCATAGCCTAGCCAGCGTTGAGACATAAAATTAACCACCATAATGAATAAACTTCTTCCCTCTGAGCGTCACTTCCCCATCTGTAAAATAAAGAGCTGTAATAATGTCCTAGGACTCTAGAAATCATGATAATTAGATAACATCTGGATTAGGCTTTATAGTTTAAAGCACTTTCACTCACATTATATCATTTAATCCCTAGAATAATCCTAGTAAGCAAATTAGTTACTGTATTCTTTTTACAGATGAGGAAATCAAGGCCCAGAGAGAGGAAGAGATTTGACTAGAGCCGGGTTTTCTGACTCCTAGTCTAGAGCTGATTCTTCACTGCCCCAAGAACCATCTTTGACAATTGAAAGAGAGGAGGTTGCCAGGAATGAGAGGCTGAAGCAGGAGCAGAGGACAAAATTTCGCTATGGAAACTCAGAGTAAGACCATGATGGCTGGATGCCAAAATCAGCATGGTGAGGACAGTCTAGGAATTCCAGAATGTAATTATTCTTCTCCAACTGAGAGAGTATGGGGATAGCCAGAGCTCAACACCTGGTGTATTACATACTACTAACTTGGGATTTAAGATAAATTTCAAAAAGTAAAGATGATGAAAGATGCTTGTTAAAGGTGGCCAGAAAAGCTGGTCACGGCTCTTTATTTGCCAGAAGGCATGTAGCATTTAATGTTGCCAGAAACCTATTCCAAAGCTAAGCCTTTGTGTTATTCCCAGACCAAAGGTACAGAAAGACCTTCAGGGGAAGGACTAGAAAGAAAGCAAGGCCTTTTGGTAACACGTTCTATTTATTTTGACTTGGTATTACCTTTGTTTACTTACAGGATTCCAGAAGGTCAAAGCTAAGTTGAACACTTAAAAAGGCAGTGAGGAGAATCTCAAGACCAGGAAAAAAACCTGCAAGCTAATTCTGCAAGACTGATGTCCCAAGCACTTACAGGGCTGTGAAAGCTAATCACTTGCCCTTTCTTTAACACTTCTCATGCTTTCTCATTCTCCTGTATTTTCCCTCTGCCTGAGGCTTCAGGGGAGACTCAGTCTCCCTGCCTGTTTCAGTGTCCAGAGGCCACCTGTATTCCTTTGCTCATGGTCCCTTCCCTGTATCCCTCCAACCTCTTGCTTCCATGAACCTCCTGCCTCCCTTTTAGAAGGACCCTTGTGATTACATGGGGCCCACTCAGATGCTCCAAAATCATCTCCCTATCTCAGGATTCTTAATTTAATCACACCTGCAAAGTCCCTGTTACATATTCGCAGGTTCTAGGGGTTATGATCTGGACATCCTTGGGGGCATCATTCAGCCTACCACAGTGGATAATGGGTACATGGGAGTTTGTTCTATTCTCTCTTTTAAACATGCTTGAATCAAAAATGATGAAAGAAAACACTTCTTTGACCCCAAGGCCCCAGTTACCATCAAAAAGTGGAACTTATACTCCTTTACGGAGTACAACTTCTTGAATTTGTGTGGTTCTTATCTCTACTTCCTCACCTCCTATTCTCTTTAATCTATTCCATTTGGCTTTTTAACACTGACCTCTCCCCCCAACCCAATCGAGGGCACAAACAACCTTCAGCTTGCCGAATTATCTGTTCTCATCCAACCTCACCTCTCAGAGCATTGTCATAGTGCACTACCCCCTTCTTGTCTAAACATTCCCACTCTAGGCTTCCATTATACACTCTCCTGGGTTTATCCCGACCTCAACACCCATTCGTCTTCTGCTTGATCTTAAGTGTGGGAAGAATCAGAACTTCTCATATGATCTGGGGCAATAGGCTTTTCCAGACATAGCTTGCCTAGCAAACAAAACATGTATCAAACCCAAGATCCGCCTTTTATTAAAATCCTGGTTGAACTGCAGAGCATTTCCAAATGTCACACCTGTCACACTGAGGTATGTCATGCCAATGTATTAATTCCTCGAGGCATTCACTCCCTTCCTTTTACTTGCCAGTTAAGTCCTGCTTTAAGCTCACCAGAAGGATGGAATATGGTCTACAGCAGCACTGTCCAGAAATATAATGCAAATCATAAATGTAAGACATGTAAACTTTGTAGTATAGTAGACACAAAAACAGGTGAAATGAATATTTTAACCCCCAAATTACCATTTTAACATGCAATCAATACTTAAAATGGGAGATTTTTTTCATTCATACTTTTTTGTGCTTTGATATGATATCCAGTGTGTATTTTACAGCACATCTCAATTTGGGACTAGCCCCATTTCAAGTGCTCAACGGCCACATGTTACTAGGGGCTACCGTACTGGACAGGGAAGGTCTTGAGCCTCGCTATTCTAAGTGGTCCACAAACCAGAAGTACTAGTATCTTCTGGAAACTTGTTAGAAATGTTGAATCTCAGGCCCTACTCCAGATCTACTCACCAGAATCTGCATTTTAACATGATCCGCAGGTAATTTGCATGCAGGATAAAGCTTAAGCACTGGTCTCAGGCAAGTTATTGGTCTCAGGTTCCTCTTCTGTCAAATAGAGGTGATAACCCTGACTTTGCAGGACTATGTGAAGATTCTTGGTGGTTTACTTCATAGACTTAATAGTTGGGATTTTAATAAACAGTAGCTATTATTTAAGAAGGTAATGTATGATCCTCTGTCTTGTTTCTCAAACTCCTCGTATCAGTGAGATCATAATTGTCTTTCTCTGCTTGACTTATTTCACTTAGCATTATACCCTCTAGTTCCATCCACTTCATGGGCAAGAGAGGGAAAAATGAAACAAGATAAAACCAGAGAGGTAGACAAACCATAAGAGACTCAATCTCAGGAAACAAACTGAGGGTTGCTGGAGTGGAGGGGGGTGGGAGGGATGGGGTGGCTGGGTGATGGACATTGGGGAGGGTATGTGCTAATGGTGAGTGCTATGAATTGTGTAAGACTGATGAATCACACACACCTGTACCCCTGAAACAAATAATACATTAAAAAAAAAAAAAAGGCAATGTGAGAGTGGGCTTTAGGATAGAAGAGTATAAATTCTGGTTCTGTCACTTACGAGCTCTGTGACCTTAATCAACTCCCCTAACATGATGTTGGGTTTTTTCTTTTTTTTTTAAGATTTATTTATTTGAGAGAGAGAGGGAGAATGCAAGTGGAGAGAGGGGCAGAGGGAGAGGGAGAGAGAATCCTCAAGCAGTCTCCCCGCTGAGTGTGGAGTGCAGAGCCCTACACAGGGCTTGATCCCAGGACCCTGAGATCATGACCTGAGCGGAAATCAAGAGTCGGATACTTAACGAACTGAGCCACCCAGGTGCCCCTTGAGGCTGAGTTTTCTTACTCTAAAGTGGGGCTAATACCTATCTTCCATTGTTGTTGTATGGACAGGGTGTGGCACACTGGAGAGAGTCAATAATGGTAGCCATATGCACACACACACACACACACACACACACCCCTTCTTGGCTGGGCCACCTTGTAGTAACAAATCATGCTAAGCTGCCTTGTTAATTCACATGGCTTTCTACCCCAAACCAAAGTGTTATTTCCTGTGGCTCCATTCTACATTTCACAAGCAGAACTTAAGGACAGCAAAAACGTTTATTTGAAAAAATTACTATGTATTGAAAATATACATTAGAAATTATTACATACTTCCATAGCATTCCCCTCCCCCACCACAAAAGTAGAAATATCCGCTCGCTATGCTAATGCCATAGGTAAAGTCAAACAAAAAGGAAAACACCATCAGCCCCCTTTGCTCATACATGAGAGTCAGGGGGAAAGAGGTCAACTCCTATCTACCAATCAGTAGGAATTTAACAAGTCCCAGTCTTCCACAGCAAGACACACATATTTCTGCTTTGAAGACTGCGAAGAGTTGCTCTGTTCCTTCTCTGGCTCTTCAAAAGCTCTCTTCTTACTCTTCTTTGACTCCTGGCTTGAGACGGCTTCGCGCTTTAACAATGGCCCGTGGCAGTCTGGAGCTTTCTCTTTATAGAACTGGAGCTTCTCAGAAGAGTTCCCGTGGGTGTCTGCCAGGGGACACTTCACGGGGGCTTCGGCTCGAGCCCGCTTGCCATCTGCAAGGGTGACAGAAAGGAGGGGCGATGAGTCAACCACACTGGGGTGTTAATGCCTGCCCGAGTCCTAAGCTGATCCCAGGGAGACGGCAAAGTCCCGAACAGGGAAAGGCTGGGATTCATTTTATTCTCTTCTGGACGCCCTCCCGAGTAACGGGGGCATATGTACTGGCGTGGGCTGAACGCATGTACTCACGTGGGAGTGTGACAGATTTGGATTCAAATCCCACATCTGCCATTTCCTGGAGAAGTGGCCTTGGGCAAGAAACTCTCTGAGATTCAGTTTTCTCATCTTTATAAGGATATAAAACCGATTTCAGAAGTGTGATGTGAAGATAAATGAGGTAACATATAAAGTGCTCAGCACAATGTTTGGCACATAATAAAAGCTCAGAAAATGTTACCTATATGTTATTCAAAATCTGGACTTTGTCTTTGAAACAAGAGCTACATTTGGGGCACAACCCTAGCAAATGATACCACTTTATTCTATAGTTTTTGGTATGCCCTGTATTCTTATTTTGTTACCTTTATTTTTCCTTCATTTTGATTTTATTGCTTACCTCCTTTAAAAAATTATATAAAATATACATAAATTTACCACTTTAATCATTTTTAAGCGTATAGCTCTGTGGCACTGAGTACATTCACACTGTTGTGCAAACATCACTACCACCTTTCTCCAGAACTTTCACTTCATGCAAAATGGAAACATTGTACCTGTTAAATGGTAACTCCCTTTCCCCTCCCCCCAGTCCCTGACACCCACCACTCTATTTTCTGTCTCTATAAACTTGACTATTTTAGGAACCTCTTACAAGAAGAATCACAAAACATGTTTCTTTTTGACTGGCTTATTTCACTTAGCGTAATTTCTTCAAATTTCATCCATGTTATAACACTATGTCAAAACTTCCTTCTCTTTCTTTAAGATTTTATTTATTTGACAGAGAGAGAGAGAGCATGCACAAGCAGGGGGAGCTGCAGGCAGAGGGTGAGGGAGAAGCAGGCTCCCTGCTGAGCAAGGAGCCCGATGCGGGACTCGATCCCAGGACCCTGGGATCATGACCTGAGCTGAAGGCAGAGGCTCAACCAACTGAGCTACCCAGGCACCCCCAAATTTCCTTCCTTCTTAAGGCTGAATACTCCATTGTATGGAAATACTATATGTTGTTCATCCATCCATATTTTTTCTTTTTATTTTTTTAAAGATTTTATTTTTATCTAATTTCTGCACCCAACCTGGGACTCAAACTCACAACCCCGAGATCAAGAATTGCATGCTCTGCTGACTGAGCCAGCCAGGCGCCACTATCCGTTCATCTTTGGATGGACACCTGAGACAGAAATCTTTTGGATAGACTTAACTCCTTTTTTAATGTTCTGTACTCTACTTTTGTGCCACTACAAATCTTTTTTGGGACAAGATGGGAGATACATACATTTAACTATTTTCCTGGTGCTCAAAGCCAAGTGTGAACTTACACTGTCACATGTTGAGAGAATACAAGTCTTGATGATCTATTTAAGTCAATACTATCATAATTACTTTTCCCACTGGGTGAAAATGGGCTGACTGCTTTAAGGGTGCAAATAACCTAATAGCAAAAATTCCAAAGAAAAGGGAATTTCTCACAGAAGTGCTGAGCTGCTGTTCGAGGCTCCCCGGTTTCTCGTGGCTTCACAGCTTCTGAAGTCACACGTTCCCACTGCAGAACAATCTAAAATGTATTTGGAAAGATCTGAATCTGAACAAAATCTCAAGCTTTTAACCCCAAGCTTTCCTTATTCCCTTAGCTCTCTTTCCATAAACACAAATCCTTATGGTAATCTTACTTCAGATGACACGTGGTGGTAAGAGTAACCAAGTCAAGCCTGGATTTTCTGTTTTAATGCAGGAATTGATCAGAATACAAACACATTGGATATATGTATTTACATGACTCGGGAAAAATCTATAAAGCTGATTCCCTGTCTATTTTCATCTCTATTGCAAGCTAGAAAAAAGTATATATCCTTAAATAATAAAATGTAAAACCTTAGTCATAATACTTTTCACACATTCTTAGACTCACTTTCAGGCCTTAAATATACCAAATATAATTCAACTCTTGTATGTGTGTAAAATGCCCACGTTTCCATGTTCTCAAGACATTTCATGATCAGTTTCCATTTTTTAAAACTGTCACAAATGTATTTTTATTGTAAGCTACTACAAATTCTTTTGGAAATTTGGCTGAGTATAAACTATCTGTAAAAAAGAAAGTGATATTTCACATATACCACAAGTAATAAGAGCTTTTAACTTAATATTTCTCATTATAGTATACAATAAAATGATCGAAAGAAGGTCAAGGAAAACACTTCAGGACACAGAGACAGGACAACATAGAATGTAAAAATACACCAGACTTAGCGCCACCACCTACTAGCCAGGGTATCCTTGGCAAGTGATTTAATTTTTTGGGCTCAATATTTTCATATGTAAAACAGTAGTAATAATAGTACCCAGCCTCCCCAGGCTGCTGTGAGAATTAAATGAGGGGGTTAGCAGTGTCTGGCACACAGAAAGCAGCCAGTAAATACCAGGTGTCACCCCTCCTATGATACCTCCGTGACTATGGGAACGGGTCAGATCTAAGAGAATGCCAGCATAAACCAAACCTGGTGACTCAGTGGGCAATACGGAAAACAGTCCTTCCACTAACAGAAATAAGAATGTCAATAGGAAGAACTGCTTGGGGAGAGGGAAGAAGAAAATAAGCTTGGTTCTGGCCACACTGAATCTTGGCGCCCGGTACAGATTTATGGACAGTACTTAGGAATGGGTCTGATGTGTCAGAGAAGGTAAAATCTTCCCTGCAGGGACAGTTAAGGCTCTAAGAACAGTGAAGATCACCAGGAGAGAGAAGACAGAAGAGGAGAGGAGGAAGTGGGGAATCAGCAGGAGCTGGAGGGAGAAGTGAGAGGGGAATAAGGAGAAAGTCCAGGAGGGGAAAGCGTAGGGCAGGCGTGTTCATACCAGCAATGCAGAAAAGCCCAGGAAGATGGAGAATGAGATCATACACCACCTTCAAGAAAACACCCGCTATAGAGCCATGGAGGCCAGACCTAGATTACGAGGGATTAAGAACTGAGTGGGCAGTGAGGAGGTGGGCAAGATCCTAGAAACCACTTCATAGCTGCATGGGGGGACAAAGAACTGTTAGAAAAAGAGTAAGTCATGTTTATACACAGAAAGCAAACAGCCAACAAAGTGTGCGACTGAAGACTGAAGGGTGGGGCAGTGGAGGGAAATCAATATGAACTAAATATCCCAGAGAGAGCCAGAGATCTCAGAGACTGTAACCAAAAAACAAACACTCAAGTGCTCATCCCCGGAATAAAGTGGCACACCTGACCCTTCGGATAGGGGGAAGTAGGAGATGGTTGAATAAATGGAAACATTCTGAGACAGAGATAGGGAAGTAAGGGGACTCCCGGTAGTTGGCCTCATTCTCCTGTGTCACCTGCAGAGTGCAGGCAGGAGGACACTGCAGTCAGCCCGAAACATTTCAATAGGGGATCAGCAAGAGATGGGGAAAATGCTGCAGCCACACTCTAGGGGCCTGCGCAGGGTGTATGGTATGAAGCTGCACATATGAAGGAGCCCCATCAACTTACAGGCACACCTCGGAGCTTGGCTTTATTATGCTTAGCAGATACTGTGGTTTTTTTATGAATGGAAGGTCTGTGGCGACCCTGTGTAAAGCAAGTCTATGGGCAACATTTTTTCAATAGCAGTTGCTCACTGCATGCCTCTGTGTCACATTTTGGTAATGCTCATAACATTTCAAATTTTTTCATTATTATTGTATGTGTTACGGTCATTAGTGATAACTCACTGAAAGCTCAGATGATGGCTAACATTTTTAGCAATAAAATATTTTTAATTAACGTGAGTACATTATTTTTTTAGACATAATGTTATTATATACCTAACGGACTACAGTATACACAGAAATTTTATATGCACTGGGAAACCAAAAAATTAGTTTGACTTGCTTTTATTACAGTATTTGTATTTTTTAAAAGATTTATTTATTTATCTGAGAGAGAAAGAGAGAGTGAGGGCGTGGTGGGGAGGGGCAGAGGGAGAGAAAGAATCTCAAGCATTGACTCCCCACTGAGCACAGAGCCCAATGTGGGGCTCAATCCCACGACCCTGAGATCGTGACCTGAGCCAAAATCAAGGGTCGGTCACTTAATGGACTGAGCCACCAAGGCGCCCCACAATATTTGCTTTATTACAATATTCGCTTCATTGAGGTGGTCTGGAACCAGACCCACAATATCTCCATGGTACACCTGTACTTTCAGGCCAGGTTGCTAGGTATTTTACTTCATCCTTACCAAGCTCTGTAAGAGAGGTCCTGGTTTCTGCATTTTATAGATGAAGAAACAGCAACTCAAAGTTGCCTTAAGTCATATAGCTATTGCATTGTCCAGCCAGGATCCCAAACCCATGTCTCCTTAACTCGATAGCCTATGCTCATTCCACCATGTCACCTGCTACCAAACTTCATCAAGCCTTTGTATGACCATCCCACACCTGCCCCAAGTCCACTGCATATATGTAGGATTCATCCAACGCTATAAACTGTTATAACGATTTCAGCATGCATTTTGTGGACAAACATCAAAGTGCACCTGAAATACTGACTCACCCCTTCTTGATTACTTATAGGGAGGTGATGCTACAATTACACACTTGGATAGGTCCACCAGCATACAGTACAGTGAAACCAAGGAGGAACCCAGAATGAAACAGTTTGGTGGGTCTTCTAGAAACATTAAAGTGTCTGAAGAAGAAAGGCACCAGCCACAGACAAGCTGCCATCTACTGGTGCCCTACTACTTGGTTACCTTCTGACTTCCTACTTAGGTCTATACTAAGTTGAGGAAGACTACCAAGAAGACAAGGGATAATCAAAGGAAAGTCAGCCAAGAAGCTGAAAATGGGAGGGTTCACTCAGTGAGAGGACAAAAAACACATTTCTTCACTAAAGCTCTAAGAGGTAAGAAATTTGCCCAAACTAAGGGGAAGAGTCAGATTTGGACCCTTATCAGTGTGACTTATTCTCTTTCCAGCATCCACACGCTGCTAAAAGAATGTGTCCTTCTGCAGTTGGACATACTGCTTTTTTGCATAGCAAGCCAGAATTTGCTTATTTTCTGAGTTGTTTATAAGATGGCACTTTCTCCTAGGGCGAATAAGGATGAGGCACAAACTAGTGATCAGAGTATGAGACCTAAGGACTGGCATCTGACACCTCGCCTTAAGTAGCTGGGTTAGGTATGGGCCATCAGTGTCTCCATTTGACGTGAAGATGGTAATTCAGCCAGACTACCCGGAAGATTAAGGTTTGTTCAAAGTGTTGACTACGGCAGTTGGTGATTTAAAGTAAAAAGCCAAATGCACTGTGAGAGAGAAAAATCTGCAGTACCTGGTCAGCCCAGCCCTCTGTCTTACAGTTACTGTGATCAAATTCCTTCAAAGGCACTTTGGAGTGGACAAGGCCTATGTGGGTCTGGAGCTTGTGTTTGACGGCTTTGATGTCCTATGAGGGAAAGAACAAGAATGCACACACATCTAGTCAATTCTTGCTTGCTTTCAGTAGGAAATAAACACCATCACAAATATCAGTCCTTTCTAAACACCAATTAGCAGGAGCAAAAAATATCTAATTTTGAGTCTGGAGAAATAAGAGAAGGGAACAAATGTCTTACCTTTAGCCCTGTCCCAGAAATATCTAAGCAGTTTAGTTTTCTAAAAGAGAAGAGGTATCCAATTCCCGCATCTGTGATCTCAGGGTTACCTAGATGTCAAAAACATAGGCTGTATAACAGTATACAGTAGAGCTACTGCTAAACTCCAACAATAAGCTCAGAAAAAAGGCCAAACAATGATAAAATATAAAGTATTGAGTGAGCAAACTTTTCAGAGAAAACTAATATAAGAATCTTATCTTCATCCTGTCTGTAATATGGAACAGCGACACTAGATGACCCTTAAGATCTTTATATAAAGCTCTAACTTTCTAGGAGGTGGGGATTAGCAGAAAAATAAACCAGGAAGTTATCCCAAAGAGTTTAATTTGGGGCCTTATGAAAACAGCATACATAAACATGTATTAAAATAGTTTACTGGACTTCGCCCATGGCTATTCCACCTCCAAAGTAAAAATATTTTAAGAAGATTTTCAAAGGTATTTGGACAGAGACTATTACTACTCTTACTAACTTGTACTGTTTTCAGAAATCTTTCATACATATTACCTTCTCAAATCAGAGAGTACTACATTTAGCATTGAGTCCTCAAAGCCATGAGTAAAATGCACCTGGCACATTCTAGATGCTCAAAAAATACTTGCTGAATAAAAACACTTTCCTGGGAGGGAGGTTGGACATTGACTACTGTCTTCATCTTACAGAAGTCGAGGCTCAAGGAGGTTAAATAACTTGCTCAAGGCTACACAGCTGTTAAAAAAAGTAGCAAACCAAGGAATGTCCTCTGACCTTAACCCCTGTTCCTTTCATTCTTTTGACACCATACCATCCTGCCATATATTGAGTGGGTGCTCAGTTTAATTGTAAATGATCTCTATCAACTTTCTAGCACTGAAGTCAACATCTGATTAATCCTAAGTTATCACACTGTGAATTCATCCAGATTTTCATCAGGCAAGTATTGATTAAAAGACTTAGCTGACAGACACTCTGTATCAGCAACTCAAAGAAAGTAAAGGTGAGCCAAATGTCCCTTATGTATGCCATGAATATGATGAAAGGCTGCCCTGTCTGCACACCGTGAGTGGCCCAGATGAATGTGGCAAGGCTTTTCCTACCCTAAAGAGGTGGTAGCATACAAGGAAAGGTATGTGATCAGGAGTCAAGTGCCTCTGGCTTTACTCCTCCTCTGCCACTAACTGGCTGTGGCACCTAGGAAAGTCGCCGCCCTTAATCTTATCACCTCTAAAATGACGGGGAAGGGGAAGAACTAGGGATTTCTAAAGCCATTCTTCCAACGTTAAGAACTATAATTTAGAATGAAACTTACAAGACAAGTCTAATAATGTTAGATTTTCAAGGCCTCTTTTCATCACTCGAACTGGTGCTGTCATTTTCCGCACGCCGGCATCAGACAGACAATTATCTTTCAGGTGGAGCTGAGTTACACTAGGGAAACAAAGTCCATAAGTAAATCACGTAGAATTTGAGAAAGCCTACGTACAAGAACAGGCTTTCATAAACTTCATCTAAAAATACAAAATATCTTCTACATCCTGTTATTTCACACCCAATGCATTTAACAAAGTTATAAACCTTTGGGCGCTATTTACTGACTGAGGGTTAACTTAGGGATCAAAGTGTCATGTGGTACTAATCTCAGATGGCAGAGGGCACTAAGGGTATACGGTCAAATGAGGTAAACAGGGACTTCATTAAGGGGATAAATATACCTTGCTTAACACAAAAGCTGCATTCATGACAAATCCTATGTGAAAACCAAAAACACTCTAAATATGTCAGGAAAGTCTACTAAAGAACTCCTATGAGAATTCTTTTTGCAAAGCAAACAATCCTCTAAATTTAACTAGCTTTATAAATCTAGAGTTTCAGATAGGTTTTTAGGTACACCCATAATCCAATCCATCCAGCTAACCTGAAATTAGTGTATTAATCTGCTCCACGATCCCACACACAAGACATCTGAAACTTTACTAAACCTCACACAAAAATACCTTTGTATGGGGTAGAGTGTAGGTGTCACCGTCTGAGGCAGGCCCCAGGAAGCTGGTCAGACTCAAGTTTGTCATGCTGTTATGCTTCTGGCTGTTTATGAAACCACAAAGGAATCTGTCTGGCCTCCTGTCTGCTGGCCAGACTGAGCAACTGGAGATCAGCTGGACTATTTGTGAATGGTATAAACTGGGCGATTTCTTTAAATTATGGTTCTTGAAAAGAATTAGGTGGTCTTTAATAGTTTATTTTTAAATAATTTATAGTTCATTGATAGTTAAAATAGAAAAGAACGATTATAGACAACTATATAAGTATTTCTTGTTAGAATAAACTAGGACTGGACAAACTAAGGGCAAAATCATTTTTACCCCAGGTAGTTTCATGTATTACATGTTGAAATAAAGGTTATTTAGAAAATGAACTAACTGACTTACTTTCCTAAGAACTGTTCAATCTATGTTGCTTGTGCCCAGTAAAGGAGACTGAAAATGTTTTAGGAAATAAAAAAAATTAGCAAATAAACACAGGATTGGAAAATAATCAACACTCTTCAAGATGATCCCACCGGATCATCCTTTAAAAACAAAACACAACAATTCATCTACAAGTGGTGGCAGGTCAATACCTAGAAAGGGCCTCATTGGTGAGATGTTCTAGAAGTTCATGCTCATCTCCAAGCTTGCAACAGGAAAGATCCAGGCAGGTCAGCTCCCGGAAAGACTTAATTTCCTCAAGTTTTTCTGAAATCACCAGATATCTGTGGGGCATGGAGAGTAATCAATAGCTTTTCTTTTCCTTCTTTTAAAACATTATCATTGGGCGCCTGGGTGGCTCAGTCGTTAAGCGTCTGCCTTCGGCTCAGGTCATGATCCCAGGGTCCTGGGATCGAGCCCCACATCGGGCTCCCTGCTCCGCGGGAAGCCTGCTTCTCCCTCTCCCACTCCCCCTGCTTGTGTTCCCTCTCTCGCTGTCTCTCTCTCTGTTGGAAAAAAATAAATTAAAAAAATATTAAAAAAAAAAAAAATACAGCCTAAGAGCCTTTCTTCTTAAAAAAAAAAAAATTATCATTTGTGGCTTTGTGATATAGTCAACATTCCATCAGGACAAGGAACTATGTAATAAGCAGACTTCACCAATTTCTATGTGGGCATAGGTTGAATTTTTTAATTAGTGAATGCCTTGAGTCTTTTTACATGATGGTGGAGTAAAAACTTTTAAATAAAAATATACACGCAAAAGCAAGACACAAGAGAAAACACCTGCTTTGTCAGAAGACAAACCTTGGTGATGGGACATTATGGGAGAATTTCCAAACTTTAGGATTCTCAAAATTTAACCATTCTTTTGAAGTTCTTTTTTTTTTTTTTAAAGATTTTATTTATTTGTGAGTGAGAGAGAGAGCAGGGGGAGGGGAGAAAGAGAGAGAGGGAGAAGCAGACTTCCCGCTAAGCGGGGAGCCTGATGCAGGGCTTGATCCTAGGACTCCAGGATCAGGACCTGAGCCAAAGGCAGATGCTTAACCGACTGAGCCACCCAGGCGCCCCTTGAAGTTCCCTTTTATCTTACGCTCTACTGGTTTGAAAACTGGAACAGAGCCTGGAACTCTAGGCTCTAATCTCTGCACGTCCCCAAGAATATACCAAGAGCTATTTGGCAGATCACGTTTTCTCATTTCTATTCAAACACATGGTTCAGTAGCTGCCCACTCCACTGTGCCTGTTAACTTTACTCTGAAAGTACGTGCAGTATGACAGACTACAAGGACTCCGTCTCGTCTAGATGGTTAAGACAAACCTGTGAGCACAAACAATTTAATTACACTGGAGCACCTTGCCAAACTGTTATCAGGAAGCATCAGGGAGGCCTCTGGAGAGGAAAAGGAGATCAAAAGGGCATTCCACAGCCCAGGCTAGGGCCTCCACCCTGCTTTCTAGTTGTTCATCTATTTCAGATGATGTCAGTGAGAAAAAAATGAAAAGTGATTAGGTGTGACAGGAAATAGAGAGAGGATCCTAAGAGAACAGGAAAACTGACTTGTGGCAAGAGCATGCCTTTCTCATCCACTTTCCTCACAGGTGTCTAGAAGTTTCTACAGCAAAATGGTATGCTAGGATCTGTGGAGTTACACTTAGAAGTGTTCAGTTCTCTCTTTGTCAGTAGGGTCATAATTACCAAAAACAAGATGGAATAATATGAGGGTAAGACAGAAGTTAGATCTCTTTTCTTCCTATCGCCAAAGTAAGATGTACTGAAGCTGACTGCTGGCCTGACTGCTAGGTACAGATGGCCTGGGGCATTGATACCCTCTCTAAGCTGCTGGTGACAGAGCTCAGCTGGGTACACAATTGAGCCTTATTTCCTCAGACACATTTTAATTGCACTGTAAATAAAGCTGCTGTTTTCCATCTTCCAATCACAGAATTGAAGTGGGTTAATGGGGATTTGGGGGATTACTGGCAATCAGAGAAAGGAAAACACACATCCTTTGATCAATTAACCAAAAGATTTTCAGTAATTCTGAAACAAGGGTTATCTGCGAAACATAACAATGTATAATGTGATTAACAAACATTACAAAAATCAAGGCTGAGAAACCAACATGCAAAGCCATAGACACTACTAGATGCTTATCTAGGACATGATCAAAGCTCTAGGGTCTTGATCAACACTGGTCTTCCAATTTGTCCCTTAACGAGTTCAGAATAGTGTAATGGAGAAGCAACAGAAAGAACACAAATTTTAGTGTCAGATACAACTAAGTTTGGATTGTAGCAACCCTAATCACTTGTGTGACTGTGAAGTTACTTAACCTCTCTGATCCTCAATTTTTCCAGCTGAAAATAGGGCAAATGATTATTTCTTTTAAGGATTACTAAGAAAACTATAAACAATATTTCAAAAGTACAGGCATCTGATAGAACCTCATTTCATGGTAGTTATTATAATCACTTCATTACACAGGGTGGTATTTAAGGAAAACATACTTGCCTCCCAGTACCATTAGCTGAATTAAAAATCACTGGGCTTTCAACAACGGAAGGAAATTGTTTTTATAGCGCTGGAACCCAGTTGCAAAAACACTGGCTTCTCCTTCCGACAAGCAGCTTTGTGACCTACCCTAACACAGTAAGTGTCCCAACCTCCCCAATTATCTTATTTTCAATAATTTTCTCAATCTCTTTCCCTTTGATCTGAACCCTTTCTTGCTGGTGAAACCTTTGCTGTTATAGCATCAGCCCTGGATTATAAATGCAAACCCAAATCTCCTGTCCTCTTCCTATTTTCCTCTGGGGATTCAAGAGGAGAAGGGAAGTTTGGGATCACAGTTGAAAATTTTCTTTCTCTCTCTTTTTTTTTTAAGATTTTATTTTTAAGTAATCTTTACGCCCAATGTGGGGCTCAAACTCATGACCCCGAGATCAAGAGTCCCATGCTCTTCTGACTGAGCCAGCCAGGCGCCCCCACAATTGAAAATCTTAACCTTGTATCTGAACAAGACAGCAAAGTTTAGAAATGTTGCAATAAAATATGAGCCAAAAGATCACATTAAAAATGTTTCTATTTTTTTTATAAAATATACATTTCTTATAGAAAAAATTAAGAAAATGTGAAAAATTATGAAGAAAATTAAAACAAATTATGCAATCCCATTATCTAGATTACATTTTGAAATATTTCTCTTCTTTCTATATATGTAATACATATAAAAATTCCTTATTTTTAAAAAAAATTGGATCATATAGTGTATGCAATTTTAATCCTTTTAAATGTGTTATATATGAACATTTCACACCATTTTAAATGATCTTTCAATATTATCTTAATAGCTATATAATATTTCACCATATGAATGTACCATAATTGGCTTAACTCATCTCCTATTGTTGGATATTAAGCTTTCAGGTTTTCGCTATTACAGTGTTATAATGAGCTCCCTTATATGAAAGTATTTGTTCCATGTCTGAGTATTACATTAAAAATTAGAATAGGGACACCTGGGTGGCTCAGTTGGTTAAACACCAGCCTTCGGCTTGGGTCTTGATCCCAGGGTCCTGGGATCGAGTCCCACAACGGGCTCCTTGCTCAGCGGAAAGCCTGCTTCTCCCTCTGCCTGCTCTGCCTGCTTGTGATTTCTCTCTGACAAATAAATAAATTAAAAAAAAATTAGGATAGATTCCCAATAGATGGAATTAATGGGTCAAATGGTATGGATATTTTTAAGGCTCTTGATACATGTAGCTAAGCTGCTTTCTAGAATTGCTACTAATTTATGTGCTTGTCAAACGTGAATCAAAGTGTGCTATTCAGTTCCAATCTGACCACTGGAGTGGTATATAGGTATCACAAATGAATAAAAAGCATTTTCACTATCATGAGAAATACTTAAGCTAGAACGGTAGATGAGGGGGGTAAAACGGAATACAAGTTGTACATGTAGTATATTCCCAAATGTATAAAGATGTGTGTGTGTGTGCATATATATATATATAAAAGATTTCATTTATTTGACAGAGAGAGAGGGAACACAAGTAGGAAGTGTGGGAGAGAGAGAAGCAGGCTTCCTGCTGAGCAGGGAGCCTCATGTGGGGCTTGATCCGAGGACCCTGGGATCATGACCTGAGCCGAAGGCAGATGCTTAACGACTGAACCACCCAGGCGCCCTTAAAGATATATATTTGAAAATGATTATCATGAATAGTGGGATTATGAATTTCTTAAAATTACAGCTTTATATATTTCCCAAATATATACTGCCTTTATAATTTTAAAACAAGGCATCTATCATAAACCTACTTTTCATTGTTCTATTTTTTCTACAGTGAACATAAATAACTTGAAACAAAACATGAAGGAGTAAAATGTATTTTAAATATATGTGCTACAATGAAATATTGCTTGGCTTTTCATTTAGGCAAGGTAATTCTTTTTTCTACTGGAAGCAGCCCCAAGCTCAGCCATGACTAACCACAGCATAGAGACAGAGCTTTTAAGAGGTACCCGCTCAGTTTCTAAGTCCATGGCTATGCTCCTATCTGCATGTGTTTATGCCTTGTCTTTTTATTTTTTTTATTTTTTTAAAGATTTTATTTATTTATTTGACAGAGAGAGACACAGCAAGAACAGGAACACAAGCAGGGGGAGTGGGAGAGGGAGAAGCAGGCTTCTTGCCGAGCAGGGAGCCCGATGTGGGACTCGATCCCAGGACCCTGGGATCATGACCTGAGCCGAAGGCAGACGCTTAACGACTGAGCCACCCAGGTGCCCTATGCCTTGTCTTTTTAAAGTACAATGTTTGGACTGGGGTGAAACCGTTGATTCTATGAGCCAATTAAATAAAGATTGCTTCTTTTTGTTTTAAAGGCTTTTTTTTTTAATTGTATTTGAGAGAGAGGAAGAGAGAGAGAGCATGAGTGGGGGGAGGGACAGAAGGAGAGGGAGAAGCAGACTCCCCACTAAGCGCAGAGCCCAACGGCCAATACTAGGACCTGAAGATCATGACCTGAGCCGAAGGCAGACGTTTAACCGACTAAGCCACCCAGGTGCCCCCCAAGCATATGAGTTTAGCTTATGCTTTCTGATATGACTTTCTCCTCTTACATGCTATTTTTTTTAGCCTTGTTTTAATGGTCATATTGATGGTACATCTTAATAGTAAGCTACCTTGCACATTTTCTGATCACAAAAAAAGTTCACCTAATGGCATACTACACAGTTATTCTTAAAATCTACAGGTATTAACGGCCAATGATTTTTAAAATACATAAAGCCAGGTGTGTAACAGTGTAAGCAGCGTGCCGCCACTTGCGTAACAAAGGGGAGAGCCGCAGGTGCATGCATGTGTACGAGGTAACTCTGGAACGGTATAAAAGAAATTGTCAACAGTAGCTGCCTCTGGAGAAATTTTGTGTTTGAATTATTTTCCATGGCAGTTTCTATTTTTAAATTTTCCACGGTTTTTTAAAGGTTTTTTTTTTTTTTTTAAGTAGGCTCCATGCCCAGAGTAGAGCCCAACATGGGGCTTGATCTCACAACCCTGAGATTAAGACCTGAGCTGAGATCAAGAGCTGGATGCTTAACCTATTGAGCCACCCAGGCACCTCTATAGTTTGTTTGTTTTTCTTTTAATTAGTAGATGCTTTAAAAGTCATTTTACATGATGGTGGAATAAAAACTTGATTTATTTTATTTTTTAAGTGGATCCCAAAGTGGGGCTTGAACTCATGACCCCAAGATCAAGATCTGAGTTGAGGACAAGAGTCCAGGATGCTCAACCAACTAAACCACCCAGGTGCCCCTAAAAACTTTAAATAAATCAGTAAAAGTAATATGAGCAAAGGCAAGTCACAAGAGAAAACATCTGCTCTGTTAGAAAACAGACCTTGGTGTTGGGACCTGTCAAAATGAGTCATGGGGAAGCCTCACTAAAACGGAAGTTGTGAGGTTTCAGCAGGGGGAGCTCTCACACCCTAGACCCAACAGGAAGAGCCCAACTTGACCTTACATGGACTTGACTTTTCAAGTGGATACTACTCTACCATTCCCAGCCAAAGGAAGAAACACTTTCCTCATCCCCCCTGGCAATAGCTTCATCAATGAAAAGCCACCACACTTTGAACTCCTAGTTTAAGCCAACGGTCTTTAAGTTCGTAACAACCTTCCCAACTTCCCTCTTTTCTCCTTAAAAAAGTATGCCTCTCCTTTGTTCCCCCTGACTTGCCTGTGGTTTTGCCATAGCTTGATTGTTCCAAATTGCAATTCTCTTTTATTCCTGAATAAACCCATCTTCTGCTGGTAAAATAACTGGCAGGTTATTTTTAAAGTGAACAGACCTTATTTGAAAATTTCCAAACTTTAGGATACTTCAAATTTTAATCACTCTTTTAAAGTTGCTTTTTATCTAATGCTCAATATCTAGAGGTCTGAAAATTGGAACAGGGCCCAGCACTCTGGTTACTAATCTTCACATCCCCAAGAGCATACCAAGAGATATTTGGCAGATCATATCTTGTCATTTCTATTTTCTCATACTAGAAAAGTTGGTAGAAGAGTACTTTTTTTATTGAATGGAGGAGTGGTGGCAATCAAAGCAGTGGCAAAATGGTTTCAAAATAAAGCTGTGTTTTCTGGTGGGGGGAGTAGGTAGGGAGAAAGACACTGATTTTTCTCAAAATGGCCTGCCACTTTATATTTGGGAGCTTTAAATTGAAGTGCTATTTGATGGGGGAAGCCCCCAAGCCCACTAAGCCCCAGAACTAGACAGAATTAATACACCCCCCAAAAATACTCAATATCCTAATCAGAATACCCACCTGTTTCGCAAACACAGGGAGCAAAGTACCAGACTTCCATAGGCCTCTGTGAATTTCTGTAAAGCCCTCAGCCCCGCACCTGGCTCTGTGAATTTCTGTCTGGCTTCTGCAGCAGAGAATAGCTTTTCAGCAATCTGCTCAGGAAAGCCAATAAGGGAATCAATGTGATCAACATTGTCGGAGATAAAGCCCAGGACGAGGCTGAAGAGAGATTTGGCAGAGTACCGAAGATTCCCCTCCCGGGTATATGTGAAGATGAAATGATCAGTCTTCTCTTTCTGTGCAGTATCATCTTCCCTGTTCATGCAAAGCTCCACAGAGAAGCCTTTGGGAAATAGTCTGAAAGGCCTTGGCTTCTGCAGGCTACTCCTGACACCATCCAAGGCCAGATTGACCATGTGCAGCTGACCATTTTCTCGTACATAGATGGGTCCTGGGTCCAGGTGGTTTTTTGAGTTGAGGTAGTAAGACATTGCCTTGGTTGCAACTGTAAAAGCAAGGCACAAAGGAAGCAAACCCAATTAACATACCATTTGTAACATGTAACTTCATCTTGCTGTGCCCAGAGCTTTATGAGCCTACCAGGAAGGTCCTTTGGTTGGTTTGGGGAAACAAAGCTTCCCAGCTGCCTGTGAACTCTGGCACAGCAGGTTGCCTCTACTGCCTCTATCTGGAATGCTGTCTCCTACTTTCCCCTTTTCTTTGTATCGGGTGCACTCCTACTCATCTTTCAAAAGCCAGCTCAAATCTCATTTCTAAAGTTCACCCTGGGGAAGTTAACAGAAGCGCACAGAGTCATCTACAAGGAAAGTCACGGCAGCACAGTTGATAATTGCAGAACAACTGGAAACAACCTAAATGTCCAACAACAGGGGTGCTATTAAGTCATTTATGATACATCTATACCATGGAATGTTATGCAGCCATTAAAATAATAAAATTTTTATTGATTTGCAAGTTACAAACAGTACATACAGAATTTACTATTTCTGTTTTTAAAAACATAACTATGCACAGAACGAAGACCAGAAACTAGTAACTTCCTTGCTACCTTTGCACCTTCGACATCTTTGTTGACTCAGTGTTTTGCTACTGATTTATTTTCTGGGCCTGTGTTCCACTAGTTTGAGAAGTTGTGGAGAGGGACCATTGAGGAGAGGGACCATTTAATTCATGCAGACTCCCTAACATGGTGTTCTGGCATATAACAGACCCTGAGTGGGTATTTGTGGAACTAAAGTCTACTCATTTGCTAAGTCTTGCATAGACCATCAGCAATAGGGTTTTTTGGATCTACAAAGAAAGACCTCCATCACAAGAGCTAAAAAAAAAAAAAAAGCGATTCTACCCCTTGGAAACATCTATTAGGTCACTTTTGAGGTAAGGCAAAACACCAAAAACAGTGGGCATTTATGCAATCCTACGAGTGACATTTTGTGCTCAAGCATTAATTGGATAAAATATGTTTTCCTGAGAAACTGTGAGATCTCATATTACACAAAAAATTGCTATGTTAAATGAAAGTATTTGATTATCATTTCCACAACAATTTAAAGAGTAGTGAGAACTAAAATTCTATATATGTCAAATCGCTGCCATTATCTTTAAAAGACTCTGCCATTATCTTTAAAAGACTCACACTTTTAGAGTGAACTAACCCAGATTCTTCTCATCAATGCAGGGCTGGGATATAGCTCTGATGCCATGTATAAATGTCAGCAAACAATCAAGTCAGTGATCAAAAATGCTGAGTCTCTGGAGATCAAACAGTGATCCTGTTTGTGGGCATCAGTACAATCCCTGTTTCTCCTGAGGATAATTATGTGTGTAAAAGCACATCAGAAAGAAGGGCCCTGCCTAGCCTGACAGCCTCAGCCTTTCCTGCTCAGCTTCTTACGCGCTACTCTTCGGCCATGCCATACGACCCAAGTAAGTTGGCTGTGTTCTCTTGTCCCACTGGTCTTTGCCCATTCTGCTCCCTTTGGTTGGAACATCCTTCTCTGCTTTCCTGACCTAGTTAATCCTTATTCATCATTAAAACTCAGCTCAACCACCATCCCTCTCCTGGGAAATCTTCACTAACCCCTGCACCAGTGCATGCCTGTCTGGTTTTCCCAGAGCACCAGTTTCTTCTCTATATATAGCACTAAGCACTGTGTGCTATGTTAACTTGCTAATGTTCCCAGAGCTGTGAGCTCTTTGAAGGTAAGGCATTTATTTGACTTGAATCATCTCTTTTTCCCAGGCCCAACACAGTGCCTAGTACTGAGTAAGCCCCCAACAGATACATGCTGAACTGAATGAGAGGAAGGGTGAGACCTCAAGGGGACAGACTGAGGGACCTCAGAGGCCCCTGAGCTGCAGGGCCTGCTGATACTGTTGCTAGGAGCCAGCTCCTCTTCTAGGCAACAGCTGCAGGCTCCTCCCCCACTTGCCAGACCCTTCTGCAGGTGGTAGAAGCAAAGCAAATGATGGGAGGATACTGCTGCTGGTACTACCAGGGGAAAAAAAACTAACACTCAGACAAAAAATTCCTGTCATGGTGCCAGCTCTTATAACCCACACTCTTGCCAGGGACTGCTGCTAAGGAGATGCCTCACGTATTCTAAGCTCTTCTTCCAGCATCTGGCACCTGCAACCTCACAGACTTTAATCTTGATGAGGAGATAAAGCAGATGCCCTCAGTCTTTATCCCTGGATTTGGGCATTCAGAGCCCTACTCTACCCATGGATCAGAAATTAGTCACCAGGCATGGCCCTAAAAAGGAACAACTTGATTGTAATAATAGAAAGGCAAACTCTATGAGGAGAACATATTATAATGGATCAGCACACCATAAGCTCCCTGGCAATGAAACAGGGTCTGCCCATGCATATTACTCCTAACCCTCACCCCAACAGTGTGTTCCACAAACTTTGGAGTCAAATGGACAAATGGATAAATGACCACTTCAGGTGAAAATCAGAAAAGTCTGATTCCATCCAGCAGATGGCACAAGCAGCCTGGGACCAGAGTAAGGACGCTAACCCAGGCTGCCCCAAATCCTGGCAGCTTCTCTTTGTATGGATCACTTTCAAAAAAGGCACAGTTCTGGCTATTTTTTACTTCTAAATTCCTAATCAAATGCTAGTTGTCTTTCTAAATGATGAAAAAAAAAAACCCTGTATTTCCTGAAGAGTAAAATCCACATTATCTGTCCAGAAGCCCCAAGGCTCCTCTGCTCTTCAATGAAGGTACTTGAGGAACTAATAACCTTGGTTCAGGAAATCCTGGTAACCTTTGATTTCTACTACTAAATGTGTGCATCTTGCATTCTCTCAATAAGAAGCTTCCCGAGAGTTTGTGAGATACTATAAAATGACCTAAGAATTAAATTAATGTTTAAACCTTGCAAGGTTAAGAACCATAAAGGCAAGAGAATTCCACATACAGCTTCTATACTTGGCTTTGCTTATGCCTGGCTGTTGTACACGGTGGTCTATTATAAATGGGCCCTCAAGCGACAGGGCCTGTTCTACACCATGGCAATAACCCCCTACAAACTCGAAAATTAAAATAATTAGTATCTGCAAGAATGTCCAGTTTAGAGCTGCATTAACTATATTTTATATTAGATCAACAGAGTAACAGGGCATTCTGATGGTCTTCCAGCCTGTCTCCAGAGAGGCAGTTTTGTAAACCATACAACCCCAAAGAAAAATATTACACAGTGCATGTTCTAGTATTCAGTCACCACAAATGATCCAAAGTTACCACAAAGCATTCCATTTCATCAAATGAATAAAATGTAACCTTACTACATAAAGAACTCAGTTCTCTATAGCCTCTTTCAATAAGAGGCAAACTAAAATAATTGATAACTAAATATGACAACTTTTTAGATCTAGAAGCCAGTTTACCAAGCAAGAAGCAGGACCATCCCAATCAAGTGGACTGGAGGGAGGGAACCAGAGACAGAGGCCACAGGATTAAAATTGTGAACCGAATCTATGACTCTCTAATTTGAAGGGAAAAAGAAAGCACCTAACTTTAGTAGGTAAACTAACAATCCCCTAAAAATAAATCATAGTAATAATGATGGTGACGATGATGATGACACTGGGTGTGATAGCTACCATTTATTAAGCACCCAGCAGTTGCTAAGCATTGTGCTAGGTACTCAAAATTAAGTGATCTCACGTAACCCTCAACAATCCTATGAGGTCAGGATTGCCATCTAACAGGTAAAAAGGCTCAGAGAAGTAAAGTAACTTACTTAAGGAACAGAGCTACTAAGTGGCAGAGCCCGAATTCAATCTCAAGGCTGTATTACTCCAAAGCTCAAGCTCTTTCCACTGCATGATGCTGTCTCTCAAGAATAAAAATATGACGTCAGCCTTAAGGATTAAAAAAAGATGTTAAAAATTAATCTCACCCACCTGTTTGATCCTTCTGGTATTCACTGGCTTAGGCTGGGGGGGTGGGGGCAGGGAGGAGATAAAAAAACCAGTGGACATCTGAGGAAAGAGCTGGTGGGAACAGAGCCAGGACAGAGCTACAATGAGGCCTCCCTTCCTCCCTCTGCCAGGGCAGAAATTACCCACATCCACACACCAGGAAAACATCTGTCAAGCCATGGCCTCCATCCCAAGGCTTCAGACACCCTTGATTTATTTGAAAATGCAGTATTCTTGAGAAAATTTCTACACAAAAACTTGGACAGAAACTAGTTCCAAACCACTAATAACCAACTAACGATCTTACCTTGGTTGTTCTGTGTCACCACCATTATTCAATTTTCCACTCCTCTCATTTTTTTCCCTACAGAGTGCACTTTCCTACCTGCCTTCTCACCCATACCCTCTCCTCCCCCAAAGCTTCAAAGGCCCCACCATACCCAGCTCCCTACTTCCCTCCAGGAACATGCCAATTTCTCCTACATCCTGACACTCTCACCGTTCTTCTACCTGCCAACTCAAGAATTTTTAACATAAAACCCAATCTCTACACTCCAAATCCTAACTCCCTCCCTTCATCCAGTCCCAGCATCCCTGTCCCTACCTCTCACACCTCAGGCCCTTCCAATCCTACCAAGGCCCTTCTGAAATGAGGTTCCTGGTCCCAAACAGGCAATCCCACCTCCACCTGCCTCTCCTTCCTTCCCTGCACGGTTCCACCCCCATCGGTTCCACCCCCAGGCACTCTTCCTCTGTCCTTCACCAAGTATTCTTCCCTTCCTCCCAGTCTCTGGAATTCCCTCTCCTAGGACTCCAATCTCCCCATTCCTTTTCTTGTCTTCTGTCTATAACCTTCAAAATCCCCTTCCTTCACTCCTCACGATGCCCAACTTCACAACCCACAGCCCCAACTTTTCTTCCCTACACCCAAGACCCCACCCCTTCTATTCCAATCCTAGATCCTTTCCTTCTTACACTTCTCAAATCCCACTCCGTTTTCCCCTTCCTCAGTACTGCAATTCTCCATCCCTCCCTCAATTCCCACGCATGCCCCTCCCCAAGTCCGCCCAAACTAACCCAGCTCCCTTCTCCCACCTTGCCCCCAAATACCCTACGCGGCACCCCGACCCCACCCTTAAACCCATCTCCCACACCCCTTTATCCTCATCCTCACATCTCTCACCCAAACCACACCCAACCCCGTCGCTCCCGGTCTACCCCTCCCCCACTCCGCCCCTCCCTCACACCCCGCCCCCGCCCCCACTCGCAGCCCCGGGCTGCGTGAGCGGCCCAGCCCGCGGCCGCCACCTACCTGTGCCCCTGCCCGGGGCTGCGAGCGGCAGCTTCTCGGTGGCGGCTCCCTCCTCCCGCGGCGCGGCTGATGGGGGAAGCGGCTCGGCGCCGCGGGCACAAAGCTAGGGAGGGTGGGACCGAGAGAGGTTGGGAGGAGGGAGGGGGCTGGGGGCGGCCTGGCGCCGTGGGACCGCGGGGCTGGCGAGGGGCGGGGAGGGGGGGCGGGGGAAAGGCTGGGCTGGGGAGATGCGCGTGCGCGGGACCCGGCATGAGGGGCGGGGCCGGGCCGGAGGCGGGGCCGGGCCCTAAGCAGAAGACCTGAGGGCTGAGGGCTCGGATCCGGGAGACGTGGGGACTGCGCGTGCGTGCTCGCGCGGGGGCGGGTCCCCTGGGTCCTGCAAGCCCCTGGGATTGATCTGAGGTGGGGGAGGGTAGGCGGTGCGGGCTCAGGCACTTGCTTGGGGAAAGGCCCTAAGGTGGGGCTGCGCGGCTCAACCCGCCAACTAAAGGAGAGCACGGGGGCGGGGTTGCGGGAGAGGTGGGGCAAAGAACCGGGAGTCGAGAGGTGCGCGCGCTCCGGGGGCGGAGCTGGGGGGCCGGGCCGGGCTGCGCGGGGCGGGGCCTGATGGCGGGGCGGAGCGAAGACCCGGGAGTCGGGATAGGCGCGCGCCCCGGGGGCTGGGCCGAAGGCCGAGACGGGATGCGCGGGGCGGGGCCAGCGGGTGGGATGGAGCGAAAAACCCGGGCAGAGGGATGCGCGCCCCCGGGAACTCCTTGGAGGTCGGGGGTAGGGGGCGGGGCCAGGGGCCGGGGGCGCGCTGCGCGGGGCGGAGCGGAAGGGAGATCCGGAGCCCGGATAGTCCGCGCGCTTGGAGCTAACGCGAGGCGCAGGCGAGCCGGGTGGTGGGGTGGTGGGACGGCGGGGCGGGTTGGGCCCGCGCCGGTGGAGGTGGGACCCTGCTGGACACGGCCGGCAGAGCGGGGAGCCGATGGAGAGGGTTGTGAGGAGGCTAGGTTGTAGTCACCTTTGCATTATTAGGGCGGGAGGGCGCTGAGGGGCGGCTCGTGAGTGACCTTGACGCAGATACGTTCTCTCCCCTCAGCCCTAGAGACACCAGTGCCGATCCACGAACTTTTTTGAACCCTGAAATAATGTTTTCACTCCCAAAAGGGAAAAACAGTTGCAAATTGAAGTTAATTAGTTTACCAAACTGTAACCTTTCAACTGCTGCGTAACCCGTATATTATGAATTAGAGTTAATGTAGGCTGTTGGTTCATTTAATATATTTTATGTAATTTGGGGTGGGGCGTCCACAAGCCTGAGTGCTTAGGACCCTCGGAGGGCTTGAAATGAATGGCCCTGGACCGAGAAGGGTTTGGGACGGGGCGAGGAGGTGGTGTCAGAGCTGGTTTGCCCTTCTAGTAGATACTAAGCCGTAGGCCCTGGCCTTGGGGAGTCAGAGGGTGGCCATTTTCTAATTTACACAAAAGTTCCCAATCAGTCATGGGGAGAGCACTAAGTCAGGGATAAAGTGAACTGCGGACTTCACCCCTCGAGGTTTTCAGAGAGAAGGGCCAGAAGGATGTGACCTGGAGATGAAAGGGTGGCTCAGTGGCCCTGGGACAGGGAAGTTCAGGGTCAGAGACCATGCAGAATGCAGAGCAGGGCACCCCAGAGCGCACCGCCTTTAGTAATCTAAGCCCTGAGGGAATATGTGTATATTTATTTAGAGTAAGGTATGGGGGGGGGGGGGTTAGACTACAACGCAAACCTGCACCTTGGAGTTCTGGAAGCAACATTCTCTGTGGGTTTCTTTGGGGCTGGTTTGTCACTTTCTCTTTAACCGAACCAAGGAACCTTAAAGAGAACTCAACTTCTGCCCTTAAATAATTACACCCAACATAGGAAATAGGAAGGATATTGATGGATATAGGAGGTATGAAATGAATTTTGTGTTAAAGTACATGGCTTCCCTCAGACAATTTAGATGATAAGAATGTGAGGCAAGGAAAGAACTGAACATTTAGAGAGTATATTCTCTTCCTTATTCTTATACCAAACATCAATGCTAGATATTTTTCCCTAAAATATAACTTATTAAAAGCAAGTTCTCTCCCTAAGTCTCCAACCCTCACATTTGCACCCCCAAATATATTACCATAGGGTTTTTCCACCTCTGTATTCACATTTGGGGCTAAATAATGATTTGTTGTGGGGGACTGTCCTGTGCATGGGGATATTTAGAAGCCTGGTGAAATGCTCACTAGATGCCAATAGCATCACACCCCTCCCTCCCAAGTTGTGACAGCCAAACTGTCTTTCAAAATTGTCAAATGTCCCTTGGGGGCAAAATCACCTCCAGTACTGTTGAAAACCACAGGATAGAACCTATTGTGTTTAACTTGGCTTCTAAAATCCTTCACTATCTGTTCTTCAATCTGTGTTTCCTAGGAATTGATCCAGCCTAAAAGAACCACCAATGCAGGAATCCTTTCTTTAGTTTCCTCCATAAATTATCACCTACTCTTCTTGGACACTTTCAGGAATGGAAAAGACTTAAAATTTTTACTTTGCCAGTAAGTTCTATCTGTGATGTCTTCCTGCTTAGAATTTGTATTTGTTGAGTCCAGTTCTCCCTCTTGGAGTTGTAAAAGAAAAATTCTAATCCTTTTTCCAGTTTTGAACACTTGTGATATTAATCACATTTCTCTCTTATCTCTCTTTTGAAATATTTCAGCTAATTCTTTCAACTTTCTCCATGTGATAATTTATAGATCATCGTGAACTTTTTGTTTTCCTCTGACAATATCAAACCTGACAATGTCCTACTTAATATATACTACCCAGAACTGATGTTGTATCTGGATGTAGATCACACCGTTAGCACGTAACATTATAATATTAGTTGCATGCTTGTTCATCTTACTTGACTCTGAACTTGAAGGCAAGAACTACGTCTTAGTCACCATCTTTGTCTTAGGTTGTAGTCACCTTTGCATTATTAGCAAGCACAGTGCCTGGTCCTTAGGTGGTACCTAAAAAAAATTTTTTTTTAAGATTTTTTTTATTTATTAGAGAGAGCACAAGCAGGGGAGCGGCAGAGGGAGAGGGAGAAGCAGACTCCCCACTGAGCGGGGAGCCCCATGTGGGGCTTGAACCCAGGACCCTGGGATCATGACCTGAGCTGAAGGCAGACGCTTAACTGACTGAGCCACCCAGGTGCCCTGGTATCTAAAAATTTTGATGGAGGTAGTTCCTCCTTAACTCTGTTAATATAATCTAAGATTGTATTCCTTTACCTTTGGGGTCAAATACAGTACACTCTTGCCTTATAGTATGACTTTGTAATGAGCCAAACCTATATGTTTTACACATCTAGATCAAGGGTCAGCAAACTTTTTCTGTAAAGGCCCAGATAATAAATATTTTAGACTTTATGAACCTTATAGTCTATCACAGCTACTGTGTCACTATAACACAAAAGTAGCCGTCGACTACTTTGTATAGTATTTATATGTGTATGTATGGATGACCATGGCCAAGTTCCAATAAAACTATTCATGGATACTGAAGTATGTATTTCATATAATTTCATATAATCTTCATGTGTCACAAAATATTATTTTAATTTTTAAAAGTATTTAAAATAAAAAGCATTCTTAACTCATGGGCCATACAAAAACAGGTGACAGGCTAGATTTAGCTCATAAGCAGTAGGTCGCCAACCCCAATCAAGACCAATCTTTGTGTGATTGACTTTTTAAGCCTGAGTCTAGGCCTTTATTGTTATCCTTATTAAATATATTATTCATCATATCCCATCTTTCTTTCTTGCTCAGATCTTTTTGTGTGCTAATTCTGTCATCTAGCATATTAGCTGACATCCCAGCTTTGTGTCATCTGCAAAATTGATAAGAATACTTTTTCTATCTTTAATTAATAAAAATGTTGAATGGCATAAGGACAGAGGTCTTCCACAGTTCATTTTGTTCCATTAATCATCATTCTTTGAGCATAGCCATTCAAAGAGTTAAAAAATTTTACCTAAAGTACTGCCTGTCCCCCAACCTACATTTCTCCATCTAGTCCATATGGAATCTTGAGAAGCTTTCTCTCAAGTTTTGTTGAAGTATTCAGAACATGTCTCTAATTGGTACTAACTCTATCAAACAAGCAAAAAGAAATGTATAGGTTTGGCATAACCTTTGTGAACTAATGTTACTGCTGCTTTCTATTTTACTACTATCTTTATGTTTTCAGGGCTATCATTTTATATATTTTATATATATCATTTTATATATATTTTATATTTAATGAAGTTTAATAATTTTAGAATTTTGTTGAGAACATCCAAGTTCATCAATCTGTATTTCTAGGAATTGACCATGTTTCTTCAAACCACGTACTAACAGTGTTCATCTAACACTAGTTCTCTAGTATCAATAGTATTAAATGCAAGAAAAAAGCCAAGAGAAGAGGCACAAATAGAAAATGTTAGAACACATGCCTTTTTTCTTGACCAGTCTTACCATGGGTTTTAACACTATCATGCTAGATTTTAAAATTACAATAAAAAATGAACTTTATGGGGCGCCTGGGTGGCTCAGTTGGTTAAGCGACTGCCTTCGGCTCAGGTCATGATCCTGGAGTCCCTGGATTGAGTCCTGCATCGGGCTCCCTGCTCGGCAGGGAGCCTGCTTCTCCCTCTGACCCTCCCCCCTCTCATGTGCTCTCTGTCTCTCTCATTCTCTCTGTCTCAAATAAATAAATAAAATCTTTAAAAAAAAATGAACTTTATGCCAATAAATATAAAGATTAAGAAGAAATATATAATGTTTCTACAAAATGTAAATTTCAAAATGGTGTAGAAAACCTGAAAAGAACAGTTGAATTTGAAATAGTAAAAAAAAAAAAAATCTATCTACAGAGATTTTACCGGGTTTACAGGATCAAATAACCTCTGTCTTTTACAAATTGCTCCAACAACTAGAAAAGGGGGAAGCTCTGTACCTTACTTATGTTGGGAGTACAATCTTGATTATAAACCAGATACTCAGGCCATTGTGTGTCCAACTTTTGATTTCTGCTCAGGTCATGATCTCAAGGTTGTGAGATCAAGACCCACCCCCCCTCCCCGTCGGCCCCTGCACTCAGCTTGGAGCTGCTTGTCTTTCCCTCTGCTCCACCTACCCCGTATAGCTGAAAAATTTCCAATTTTTTGTAGAGTGTGTTTATTGATAACAAATACTTTCAGCTTTTGTTTGCCTGAAAATGCCTATATTTTGCTTTTACTTGCAAAGGATATTTTTGCTGGATGTAGAATTCTGTATTTTGTCTGTTAGCACTTTAAAGATGTCATTCCACTGTCTTTTCGCTTCCATTGTTTCTGATGAGAAGACAATTTTTATTCCTGTTCTCCTAAGCATAATGTGTTTTTTGCTTTGACTACTTTTAATTTTTTATCTTTTAATTTTCAGTGATTGACTAAGATGTGTCTAAGTGGGGTTTTCTTTGTAGTGTTTATCCAATTTAGGGTTCAAGAGCTTCTTGGATCTTGGGTTTATGTCTTTCATAGACTTTGGAAAATTTTCAGCTGTATCTGTTCAGATTTTTCTTCTAAGCTACTCTTTTTCTCTTTTCCTTATGTATTACATGTATTACATATATTTCTGAATAGTTTGATAGTGTTTCACAGGTATCTGATGCTCTGTTCTGCTACTTTCATTTTTTCTCTATGTTTCATTTTGGATCATTTCTGTTGACCTATGTTTAAGTTTACTGACCCATTCTTATGTTGAGTCCAGTCTGATGCTAAGCCCATCTAATGAATTCTTTATTTGAGATACTATACTTTTCAGTTCTGGAATTTCCATTTTGTTCTTTTTTAGAGTTTAAATTTCTCTGCTAAAATTCCCTTTCTATTCACCCATTTTGTCCATCTTTTCACTAAATTATCTAACAGATTCATAGTAGCTATCTTTGCTAATTCCAATACTTGGATCATCTATAGATCTAATGAAGTGATTTTGTACATTGGATATTGTGTTTAAAAGAATAATAGACACTGAAGTAGATAATGACTTATCCCAGAGAGAACTCACTATTTTCTTTGCCCCACAGCCAGGATAAGGGGCAGATCACTTCAGTCCACCTAGGGATTGGACTGACTTGTAGTTTTATTTAAATAGTTTCAGTTTACCTCTGATTTCAGATACTTGGGAGTGAGAGCAATTCCCTCCATCAGGGGTTTAGGATCTAAGTACCCAAGATAAAAGAAATCTTTCTTTGCTTTCCAGTTCATACACCCAGTTTCCTGTGAAGCTCCACTTAGGGGATGGTTTCTTTCATCTTATTAGGGGTTGAGATGGGTTGGGGCTGGGTTGTAATTTTACTTCACTTTACTTAGTTGCACTTTAACTCTGTGACACAGCAATATGGCTAAGTCTCAAAAACATAATGAGTGATAGAAACCAGATACAAATGAGTACAAGCTATATGATTCTATGTATATAAATTTCAGGCAAAATTCATCTATTAGAAATAAGGACCATGCTTATGTTGGGGAGGAGGGAGGGAAGTGATTGGAAGGGGGCATGCAGAGGGCTTCTCAAGTGCTGGTAATATTCTATTTCTTTACCATGGGTGGTGATTACCTGGGTGTGTTAACTTTGTGAAGATTTATCGCTCTATATAATTCTGATTTGTGTTCTCTTCTTTATGTTATAGTTCAGTAATAAAAAAAAAGTGCATGGGGGGGGTAAATGCACAAGAAAACAAAGTCAAAAAGAAAAATCAAGCTATAGAGTAGTAGAAGATATTTGCAACACATATAACAAAGGATTTGTATCCAGAATGTTTTATTTTAAAAATCCCTACAAATCAAAAAGAAAAGGACAAAAAAATTTTAAAAAGCACCCCAATAGCAAAAAGAGCAAAGGATGAGGAAAAGCAAATAACAGAAAAAGAGGCCTCAATGGCTCATAATCATATGAAACAGTATTCAACCTCACTAATAATCATGGAAATACAAAGTATAACCTGTTGAGATACCATTTCACACCAATGAGATGGGCTAAAGCCAAAATATCTAATACCAAGTTGGTGAGAATATGAGGAAGCAGAAACTCTCAAACACTGCAGATGGTAGTGTAAATTGTTAAAATTTCAAGATCAAATTGATCAATTACTGACTTCAAGATGTGCTGATTTTAAGTTTCTGCAATTTTACTTCTGTAAAGAAAGATACTCTTATCATAAAGACTTTCTCCCACAAATGCTAAGGATACATACAAAGGTATACATTTCAACTTTGTTTATAATAGCAAAAAATTAGAAACACCTAAATATTATTCATTAGAGAAATGGAGAAATACCTGACAGCAGTTAAAGTGAATAAAGTAGGTTTACATGTATCAACATGATAAAAACTTGAAAACATAATATTGAATGAAAAAAGCAGGTAGTATAAGGATATATATACTGAGAAATCATCTAAGTTTTAAAAGGACAGTACATATCGTTTATGGATATGTATATGATAAAAGTATAAAATATAGTAAGGAGAGATACTCATCAACTTCAGAATAGCTATTATCTCTGGACAAGGAAGGAAATGGGCAAAAAATGTTAACATTTATTAAATCTAGGCAGTGGGTACATAGTTGTTTAATATATGTGATACTCTGTGCTTTGTCTATTATTTATTTGAAATAGTTTCATTTTTTTAAAAAGTCAGCCGGAGGCCAGGGAATAGTTTCATTTTTTTAAAAAGTTAGCTGGAGGCCAGGGTATGAAGGGTATTGGAAGCCTTCCTCCTTTTTTCAAACACTCTTTGTCTTTTAATTCTTTATAGATACAGCTTTTATAGTCACTTTGCATTTATATATTGGTTTGTGCCCTGTCACCACCAGATCAAGGAGGAGAATGGGTGAGATCTGATAGAATCTTCTCTCACCTTCTCTGTCTAATCCACCAAGGTCCTTATCTTTTCAGGATATTTTTATTAAACTTAAAATATTACCATACAATAGAAATGTCTTTAAATCCATGACCCAAGTGACTGGTATAGAATTTAAAAATAAGCAAAGTTTGTCTTCTCTCTTATTTTACATTCTGCTCCAAAAAATAATGATGGTAAGATATTTTTTAGCATGTGAATAATATTATTTGCTACTTCAGTTGATAAATGTATGGATAAACAGTCACATGGGGCACCTGGGTGGCTCAATTGAGCATCTGACTCTTGATTTCACAGTCATGGGTTCAAGCCCTGAGTTGGGCTCTGTGCTGGGCATGGAGCCTACTTTTAAAAAGAAAAAATAAAACCAGTCACGAAAACATCTGTTTTTATGCTCCAGATTTTTTTTTAATTTCAGAAATATAATGATATAAATCATTTTTTTTAATTTACCCATTAATTCATGTTACCTTAGCCTGTTAACTGTTTCTCTATCATTATTGAGGACTTTTAATTTTAGAATCAGAAAAATGATGTCAGTTAGAGTAGTTAGTGTCTTGTTTTGTGGAGTAGAATAGTGGAAATAATCATTATCTTACAGATTATTCCTGGGGAAGGTTAGAAGTTTACTTACATAAATAAACATGTTAGGGTCCCTCCCACTTGTTGAATAGCTTGGTTGTTAAGCTGTGTGCTAGGCAACAGACTTTCTCTCTCCCTTTTCTCGGATAAAGTCCAGAGAACCAAGAATTTGTTTTTGTTATTATTGTTTTATTTGCAGGTTAAACACTTTAAGATGAGAAAAACTGACCTGTGTTTGAGCTCTGAGGGGACTGAAGTGATTTTAGCTACATCAAGTGATGAAAAACACCCACCTGAAAATATTATTGATGGGTAAGAGTTACTATTTTTTCTTCCTTAAAGTCTTGATATTAGGTCAGTGAACCCCTTGAGTACTGGGACTATGCTTTACAACTAGAACTTTTAAACATAGTTTAATAAATGTTTGGTGAAGTATATTACTTGACAATATCCACCTTTGGTACCATTCCTGAAACAAATTCAGTTGTGCATATTTAGGTTTTTGATCCTTTTCTTTATAATTTTTAAACTGACCTTTTATACAAATAGTTTTTTAAGAAGTGGTTTAACAAGGCAAAACTTTAAACAACTGTCTCATTTTAGGGAAGAGTACATTGTAATATCTGGTTGTGATTTTATTCCAAGTTTTTTTAGTAGATAGGAAGAAAACATTATAACTTCTCATTATTGCCTATTTCCTTAGTGGTCTAAGCAACATTTGCTGAACTGAAGGCTTGACTTCCTGCTATCTACCTGCATTGTTTGGTTCTCAGTTTCTTGATTTCATTCCAGTTTCCTCTCTTTACTGTGTTAGAGCTTATTCAAGGTAGAGATAAATATCATTCTCGGACTTTTAAATTCCAAGAAAAAATAGTTAAGGGAAAAACTCCTTTTTTGATAGTTGTGACTATTTTATTACTCTCTTGGTCTCTTTCTTGGTATCTGTACAATGACCAAAGTTTGATTCATAGAATCATATAATTTTAGAGCTGGAAGGACTTAGGAATTTATCTTATCTAAACCTTTCATTTTAGAGTTATGGTAAGAGAGGTCTAAAGAGGTCAAGTACTAGTTTTAACTACTGAAGGCAGAGCCAGTTATAACACAGATCTTGTGGTATTTTTGTGTTCTATTGTAAATTCCATGTATCTGGATAAAATTCTAGCAACTAACCTCTTCCTTTAAGCCTAATAGTTATCTCTTCTCTGACCTCTGTCCCTTTGGCCTCATGTAGGATTAGTTTACCTTTTCGTCAGACTCCAAAAGAATTTAGTATATGCATCTATTACCTTTTTATCCCTTTATTGTATTGTATAATTATTTATTTAATATTTGTGTCCTCTCTTAACTATGAATTCCTAGAAGTTAGAGACTATGACTTACTCATCTTTGACTCCAGAATGTCTTAAAATAATTATTGAGTAGCTTGTTGAATTAGATCATCAAATATCAGTCAAATTCAATTAATACTGGAAAGTAGCTGAGTATACACACACACACACTAACATACATATATATATGTATATATGCATGTATTATTTTATATTTGCATAGGGCTTTATCGTTTCATAGATGTTATGTCATTTGACCCTCACCATAAGCTTGGGAAATAAGAGGCAAAATATTTTTAAAATGTATTTTCAACCTTATTTTAAAGATGAGGAAAAGTATTATTGGAGGTAAAGATGACTTGTTCAAAATTACACAGATAACCAAGTGGTGGAATCAAAATTAACCTCATGTCTTCTAACTCCCAGTTTGGGGTTCTTTGTATTATACTATGATAACTCAAACTTTAGGGTTTTTGTTTGTTTGTTTGTTTGTCTTAAAGATTTTATTTATTTATTTGACAGAGAGAGACACAGCAAGAGAGGGAACACAAGCAGGGGGAGTGAGAGAGGGAGAAGCAGGCCTTCTGCTGAGCAGGGAGCCCAATGCGGGGCTCAATCCCAGGACCCTGGGATCATGACCTGAGCCAAAGGCAGATGCCCAACAACTGAGCCACCCAGGCGCCCCCGAACTTTAGGTTTGAATCCAAAACTAAACATCCGTTTTTTCGCCTGTGCCTCTTAATCCTTCTTAGTTTGTTACTTCCTGAAATTCAGGTAATAGCTATTTATCCCACTCTGTCTCAGAGTAGAGAAATTAATGTGGGAACTGCTGTGATGATACACAGGTATAATGAGATTTACCTTAAGTTGTTTTCAGAAATAGAGATCTTTCTGGGGCACCTGGGTGGCTCAGTCGGTTAAGTATCTGACTTCCGGCTCAGGTCATGATCTCAGGGTCCTGGAATCGAGCCCCGCGTTGGGCTCCAGGCTCAGCAGGCAGTTTGCTTGTCCTTCTGTCCCTCCCCCCACTGTCTGTCTCCCCCAAATAAATAAATTTTATTTATTTGTCTCTCTCGGTCTCTCTGTCTCTCTCCCAAATAAATAAATAAAATCTTTTAAAAAATTTTTAAAAAAAGAAATAGAGATCTTTCCAAAGATCAGTCCATATTAATGAATGATTAAGGACATAACATTTAGATTGGACAAAACCCTTAATACAGAAAACTATATAGAATAAAGGCAGTTACTGACCTGATAACAGAACACATCAGAAACTTTTAATGTATATATATTTCCAACAAGTACAATTAGACTTTATATAGTAGGTATTAAAAATTAATCTCTGCTCCTAAGTTGGTTTGTCTAAATGGAAGTAACCATAGAATTATTTGGAGAGGGCGCCTGGGTGGCGCAGATGGTTAAGCGTCTGCCTTCGGCTCAGGTCATGATCCCAGGGTCTTGGGATCGAGTCCCGCATCGGGCTCTCTGCTCCTTGGGAGCCTGCTTCTCCCTCTGCCTCTCTCTCTCTGTCTCTCATGAATAAATAAATAAAATCTTTAAAAAAAAAAAAAAGAATTATTTGGAGAAAACAGTGCCATAAGATTACCCCCATTAGATAGGTCTCCCAACTCTCAATTTCCTCAGAAATAAGAGTTAAAGAAAGTGATTATATTTCTACTTGCCTTTGACTTTACTTTTGCCCTCAGGTATTTAATATATCAATGAAAAAGGAGAAAGGAAGTTCTACACTAGAATAAAAAATGAGTTAAGAGAAAAAGTAGAAGAGAGAGAATTAGTCCTTTCAGCATAATGTAGAATACTAGATTTACAGTTAAAACTCCTGGTTAAGTGATCTATATATATTACGTTGGACTAAAAGCATATGTGTTACTCTTTGGGCCTCACTTTTCTGATCTGAAAAATGGGGATAACACCACCTTCCCTGACTACCTCAGAGTTGTGAAAAAAGTCACATGAGATAATAGATGTTAAACAGTTGTTAACTGTAAAGCCTTATTTAAAAGGAAACTAGTAGGATGCCTGGGTGGTGCAGTGGGTTAAGCATCAGATGCTTGATTTTGGCTCAGGTTGTGATCTCAGGGTCACGGAATCAAGCCCCGCACCGGGTTCCACACTCAGTGCAGAGTCTGCTTGAAACTTTCCCTCTCCCTTTGCCCCTTCCCCCACCCCCACACTCTAACATGAGTGGTCTCTCTCTAAAATAAATAAATAAATCTTTAAAAGAAAACTATCATATTTAAAATTTTTTTATTTTTAAATATTTTATTTATTTATTTGACAGAGAGAGACACAGCAAGAGAGGGAACATAAGCAGGGGGAGTGGGAAAGGGAGAAGCAGGCTTCCTGCCGAGGAGGGAGCCTGATGCAGGGCTCGATCCCAGGACCCTGGGATCATGACCTGAGCCGAAGGCAGACGCTTAATGACTGAGCCACGCAGATGTCCCGAAAACTACCATTTTTATGACTTCGTTATACCTAACTATGAGAATTCAGTTGTATGTCGTTTAAATATTTATTTATTTATTTTTTAAACTCCAGTATAATTAACATACAGTGTTATATTAGTTTCAGGTGTAAAATATAATTATTCAGCACTTCTGTACATTACTCAGTGCTCATCACAAGTATACTCTTAATCCCCTTCACCTATTTCATCCATCTCCCCACCCACCTCCCCTCTGGCAACTACCAGTTTGTTCTCTATATATGAGTCTGTTTTTTTTTCCCCATATTTGTTTAGTTTCTTAAATTCCACATATGAGTGAAATCATGTGGTATTTGTCTTTCTCTGACTGACTTATTTCGCTCCATCCATGTGTTGCAAATGACAAGATTTCGTTCTTTTTTATGGCTGAGTATTATTCCACTGTATGTATACCACATCTTCTTTATCCATTCATCTATGGATGGACACTTCGGTTGCTTCCATATTTTGGCTATTGTAAATAATGCTGCAATAAACATGGGGGTGCATGTATCTTTTCAAATTTGTGTTTTCATTTTCTTTGGGTAAATACCCAGTGATGGAGTTACTGGATCATATGGTGATTCTATTTTTAGTCTTTTGAGCAACTTCCATACTGTTTTCCACAGTAGCTGCACCAGTTTGCATTCCCACCAACAGTGTATGAGTGTTCCTTTTTCTCCACATCCTTGCCAACACTTCTTGTTTCTTGTGTTGTTGATTTTAGCCATCCTGACAGGTGTGAGGTGATATCTCATTGTGGTTTTGATTTGCATTTTCCTGATGATTACTGATGTTGAGCATCTTTTCATGTGTCTGTTAGGCCATCTGAAATGTCTGCTCGTCTTCTACCCATTTTTAATTGGATTATTTGGGGGTTTTTGCTGTTGAGTTGTATAAGTTCTTTCTATATTTTGGATATTAACCTCTTATTGGATATATCATTTGCAGATATCTTCTCCCACTCGGTAGGTTGTCTTTTTATTTTGTTGATGGTTTCCTTCACTGTGTAAAAGCTTTTTATTTTATTTTGGTGTAGTCCCAATAGTTTAATTTTGCTTTTGTTTCCCTTGCCGGAGGGGATATATCTAGAAAATGTGTCTACGACGGATGTTAAGACATTACTGCCTATGTTTTCTTCTAGGAATTTTATGGTTTCTCACATTCAGGTCTTTAACCCATTTTGAGTTTATTTTTGGGTATGGTGTAATCAAGTGGTCCAGTTTCATTCTTTTGCATTTAGCTGACCAGTTTTCCCAACACCATTGTTGAAGAGACTCTCTTTTTCCCATTGCATATTCTTGCCTTTTTTTGTCATAGATTGACTGTATACTCATATATGTCACTTTTTAAAATATTTTATTTATTTATTTTGAGAGAGAAAGAGTGTGTGACCCGGGGGAGGAGCAGAGGCAGAGGGAGAGAGAAAATCTCAAGCAGACTCCATGCTGAGCTCAGAGCCCGACATGGGGCTTTATCTCACCACCCTGAGATCA